CTCCGGGTGTGGCTCCCTAAGAAAACCACCTGGTTCGGTTTGTGCACCCGGCAGTATCCCAGCCCTTACACAAATCTAATGATTTATGTGGCGCATATGTGTCTGTGATATGTCCCGATAACAATAGTGAATGGTAACTTTGATATCTATTTATGAACCAATATTAGGCATATATTTTTTATTTATTTATTTAAACACATATATATTGGTACAAAAGGGCACCAGATACATATGCGCCACACAAAATAATGAAAGTAGGAAGAGAAGGGATGAAAAGATAAGGCGGACTGAAATGTACAACCAGAAGACTCTTTCAGTTAAGAAAGTTAGAACCACTCTTTATGTAGAAAGTAAAAGAAGGTTAGAGCAGGCTCCTCACTGGCTTCTATTCTGAGCCATATCCGATAACGTCTCTAGCCACTGTGTTGCACCATCTCTCGGACCCCAGCCAGGGAGTTGTGAAGGACCAACAGAAGCTAGCCCTTTGCAACTTTCTTTCATGCCACGACACCATGTCATACACTGACTTCCTCTCCGCCTTTTCCTACCAGTCCCAGAGTCGGCAAATAATGCACGGCGTGGGATTCTCTGGGACGATATTCGTAGAACATGTCCAAGCCACCGAAGTCAGTGTTTCAAAATGGTGACGCCAATTGAATTATGGTCTCTGCGCCCGAACACACGATGCCGAACCTCTGCATTACTAACATGGTGTTGCCACTGAATGTCAGCAATCCTTCGGAGACAACGATGATCGAACACAGAGTCGTCTAACATCCTCAGCATAGAGCAAAACTGCTCTCGCCGACGCGTTGTAGATCCGACCTTTTACAGCCAGGCTAACATCACGAAGGTGCCAAAGATGGCCCAGATTGGCATAAGCCGCCCTGGCTTTCATTACACGTGCATCGATCTCATCACTCACGCCACCACCAGCACTTATATAGCTACCTAGATACACGAACTTCTCAACTACTTCAATCTGCTCACCATCCAGGGTGAGTACAGGATGAGAATCCTGCCAGTCTTGTAGGAGTACTTTGCACTTGGAGGGTGCAAAGCACATGCCGTACCTGTGGACACTGATTGCCAACTGATTAAGTGTGGATTGCATGCCTTGGGCATTATCGCACAGTAAGACAATATCATCCGCATACTCAAGGTCGAGAAGTCGTTCTCCAGGCAACATATCCACACCGCCATTACTTACATCCACCAGAGCTGTTTCCAGGATGTCGCCGATGGCAAAGTTGAAGAGGAATGGTGAGATCGGGCAACCCTGCCTAACCCCACTGCTCGAATGGAACAAGGGAGAAAGGTGGTTGTATGCCCTCACTCCGCCTGAGGTGTTCGTATACAGGGCCTTTAAGATGTTAATGAACTTCTCAGGCACACCCTTCTTCAATAGACAATCCCAGAGAACAGTCCTGTCCAACGAATCGAAGGCAGCCCTGATATCAAGAAACACTACGATTGTTGGCCTGCGATAAGTATGACGGTGTTCTAACATTTGGCGGAGGGTGAAGATGTGATCAATGCATCCTCGACCAGAACGAAAACCAGCCTGCTCCTCGCGAGTCAATCGTTCTCGGGTTTTAAACAACCTACGAAGAATGACAGAAGCCAATAGTTTGGACGCAATCGGAAGTAGACTTATCCCCCGATAGTTGTTACAGGAACAACGTGAACCCTTTTTAAAGATAGGGACGACTATCGACTCATTCCAAGATGTTGGAACACTTTCTTGCTCCCAAACCTTTGCAAACAACACCGTCAGTTCCTTAGTCAGAAAGTCACCACCATCTTTAAAAAGAGCCGGAGGTAAGTCATCCGGGCCCGGTGATTTGTAACGTTTCAATAGTTGGAGTTCCTTGCGGACTTCCGCCTCGTTTGGTGAATCAGTCGTCATCGGCCATGGCGGGCAGGACAAACTGGTTGATGTTGCCGGAGAAGCAGGCCAGTTGAACTGCCCTCCGAAGAATTCTGCCCATCGTCCAAGACGTCGATAGATGTTAGTGATTGCCATCCCGTCATCCTCGTAGATTGTTTCACTCACACCAGACTTCTTGCTGCCAGTGGCTCGGATGAGTTGGAAGAGCTTCCGGCAGTTACCAGATGTAGCTGCTGCTTCCATCTCATTAGCACGCTCCGACCACCAGGCTTCTCGGTCCTTACGCAAGCTTTGCCCAATTTCATTACGTAACAGCCTTCGTTTGTGGTCAAACTCACGGTCACCCGGAGTAGACCGACGGGCTTCGATCAGTTGTAAGGAGCCAGAAGAAACCCAGTGCTTCTAAGCGGGACGTTTCGCGAAGCCGGAAGCGGCTTTACTCGCCATTTTCATGGCGTCGTGAAGATGCAACCAATGCTCATCTATACTTTTCGGTGGGGTGGTAGCTAGCGTAGAAGCTAGCTCTGCTCGATACTTACTTGCAACAGATGTTGCAGCCAGTTTACTAACATCGATCCGTTGGTGGCGGTCAATCCTTCGGCCACTGAAAAGTAGGGTGAGATTGGCGCAGACCAGGGCATGATCAGACTCCAGATAGGTACTCCAAAAGGAGCGGCAGTCTTGTACACAACCACGCCAGCGGTAGCTGATCGCGATGTGATCAATCTGAGTCCAGGCTTGAGATGCAGAGGGAGGACGCCAGGTGGCACACCGGCGATGACTGTGCCGGAAGTTAGTGCTAGCCAGAAACAGGTTGTGGTCTGTGCACAGTTGCAGCAAACGGTCCCCGTTATCTGTCCTGCGATCAACAAGTCCCCATCGGCCACCTAAACGACTCTCTTCTGTGCCTAGACGCCCGACCTGAGCATTCAAGTTTCCAGCTAATACTACGATATCTATCGAACACGCTTTCTGGAGAAGAACTGTTAACTGATGGTAAAACTCATCCTTGATTGCATCCGGGCTGCAATCTGTCGGGGCATAGGCGGAGATGACGAAAAGACACCGTTTATCACGCCGGTTTCTTCTCACTTTGATGGAACTTTCTAATCTAACAGCACATAACCGACTGTTAATGGGGATCCAATCGATTAGTGCTGCCTCATCCTTAGCGCTTAGTGCAACACCAACGCCAGCAAGACCAGACGAAGATGCCACAGGGTCCCCGGGTAAGCGCACATGAAACAAGCTTTTCGAAGCGACAGATGGAGAGCCGATTTGTAGTACTTCACTAGAGTCTTGAATACGGGTCTCGGATAGACAGCAAACATCAACATTAAGACCTTCCAAATACATAGCCAGCCCCATCTGTTGTCCGATCTGCATTAGTGTGCGAACGTTGAAGGAGGCCAGCTTGAACGGCGTACGTGGTTTCAGAAAGACTGCTTCAGTATTCGTAATCGGTGGAAACATTCACTTTCAACCAGACAGTGACTGGAGATCGTTTAGATAGGACAGAGTTTCCACCATGGACGAGCTACTGCATAAGTTGGAAAGGAAGGATATACAATTTGGGAATAAAGGGAGTGAAAAAGCGACGTAGTAAATAATAATAATAATAGTGTAAATTGCTTTGCTTCTAATATGAGCGAGAATAGTATCGTCAATAGAATTCATCATTTCATTTATTTGTGTGTGGGCTGTGATACTGCCCGGGTGCCCAAACCGAAGCAGGTGGTTTTCTTAGGGGGCCACACCCCGAGCCTTTGACCTAAAGGTCTGATCCACAAGGCAGTGGAGCATCGTAAGGAGATGCAGTCCCATGGTAGCCGTTGACCAACAATAGGTTCATTCGCCATTCGTTCCATCAGGATACTGGAGCCCATGTGCACCATTGGTTTGGAATCAGGGTTTTCCAACTCCCCTAGGTGGACCCTCCGTGTCCACCAACCCGGTTGAAGCGCCGGACATTCGCTTTTTGTCCTCTCACTTTCGTAAATAACACCCCCGCCACGAGAATGCAGTGAGTAGGACTTCCCTGGGAGAGGCTATATATTCGCGTGGCCATGTGAGAGCATTTCTAGAGGGAGAGTGGACTCTCCCCACTCTCGGCCGTACCAGGGCATTTGGGGGCATATATTTTTTATCGTATAATTGCTAAATAACTAAGCTATTCGTATTCATGTTCCCCTTATCATGAGCTTTATTTTGAACTAGAAACTATCATTATACGATTTACCATTATTGAGTTATCCCTAGTCTATTAATTACTGCCTCCCACATTCACAGCCACATTTGGTACACATGCTATTTTCTATTTTGTGGTACGATGTGGTCAGTCTGTTTGGTATATAAACTCAGTATATTTGAAATATAATGGTTCATACCGCAGAGGCTGTTATTGGTGTTCTGGACTAGGCGTAAAGCAGGACCAATACGTAATCTAGACTGCTCGTACGGTTTTCGTGTGTCACTGTTCCACTCGATAATTCGCTGCTCTCTGTTTGACGGTCTCCTCACGTCATACGTTAACAGGGCATCCACTCTGCCACAAGATCTAATAGTTTGGTACCTCTTTGTACCAATATTTATTTATTTAAATAAATGAAATAGACGAGGTAGTCCCTTCTTAGAGATTGGGACAACGATCGCCCTATTACAAGATGTTGGAACATTATTTCTAAACAATCCAGCCGCTCACCTGACCATAGGTATTTCACTTTGAAAAGAGCTGGAAATAAGTCTTCTGGATCTGGTAACTCACGTTGGTTCAAAAGCTGAAGTTTCTCGCGGACTTTGGCCTCGTCAGGTAGATCAGTCATCACCTGCCATTGATGATAGGACAGTCTGATTAATGCTATGTGGGCGGCAGACCAGACGAACTATCCCTCTAGGAACTCTGTGCATCGTCCAAGACTTCATTGCGTGCTATTGACTGGCGTCTCCTCAGCTTTACACTTCTTTTTTTAGCCCTACTGTCCACTCCTGACTAGTCTCCAGGTCTAAGTTTGAAGTTGTTTTGCAGTCATATTTTGAAATGTCTCGTGTCAATGCTTCCTGTATACTTTTTGCGTTATTCACTCGAGTTTCTTGTTATTTTGTGTTTTAGATCAATTTGACGGTTTGCCAATACAATAGTTTTAAAGGTGTTTTTTTCAAGCCACCTAAAAATAACGGTTTTGGGATCTTTGCGAAATATATAAGTTGTTTACATAATGGACTTCACTGTACCCCTAACATACTATGCAGAATGGTGGAATATACATACACACCGCTGCAATCATATCAACAGACCGCCTGTTAACCAGGAAATGTATGGCTACGGTCGTTCTTTTGTTGCCGACTGGGCTCGTACTGGTGCTGTTAGCATAAGTCATCCCTCCGATGAATTCCAGGTAACTTATTGAGATTTGAGGCTGATAAATGACATACTCAGGATAATTTTGTGCTTTTTTATATTCTTACCAAGCTAATCAGCTCCATAAATATCTCGTTAACTCTATAAATATTGAGTAAGTAGTAATTTGATGTACAAGACATTTTACGGCGTTGATTTTTTTCTATCAATTACTATAAATACAATAAAGTTCATTGTCAATACCTTTAAATACAACAGATTCAAATAAGTGACACTAAAATAAGCAATTGTCGTTAAATAAAAGTACTGTGTTAATTTAGTTTCTTATTGTACATTATAATTCCGTAAACACGTTTTCGATAATATTTCAAAACAAGTTTTCTTAATAGATATGTATGGCTGAATTTGTGCGTCCTCGGATAATCTAAACATACATTATCTATGAAGACAATGTCAGTAATTGTTTGCGTAACCAGTAGATGTTATTTCGGGTACTGCGATAGCGATTTTTGTACTGATTGAGTAGCGTACACATACTCTTAAAAGTAACGCATTACTTCGTTTTTTTTTCTCTCAGGCGTTTGGTTTTTGTAAAGAATTAATAAATAACAAATTATATTTCTTTGATGGGGCCGGCTCACTCAGAACGTTGATTATGGGGCCAGTTGTATCATCGACCCCGTTACTAACTTATTCCTCTTATTGTCTATCAAACCACGACCTCCCGTTCAGCCAGACACAAAAACCTCCTCTCAACCAATAACAATGACTGGCGAATCTGAATGTTTGTCAGTTGACACTTAACCTTGTTTTCGATTAGATCCTCATCAGGCTATACTCTAATATACAGTAATATTTATATGCATATACGAAATTATTAAACCAATCAAGGCAGTTTATGAGTCAATGATAACAGTGGAATAGATTACATAATCAAAATTAATAATAAGTAGAAAGTACAAATTGGTAATGTAATGACAGGTGTACTAGTTGTGATAAGAATAATAAAAGGCTTGAATCAATGTTACATAATAGGAAAATAGGTCAATGATTAGAAAATATAGACACTGAAATAACAATCATAGAAATTATAAGATTACGTAATAAGAAGTGTTCAGATAATTGGAAGCGAATATTAGAAAAATTATAAGTAAATAATTGATAGGGGGGGGTGAAGAAAAATAAACGAAGAAAGAGTATGGAAAATAAGATTATTTATTAAGGCCAAGGGAGGGATAAGGGTGTTACAAATTTCTTATGAACACAAAGACTTGGGTTGTTGGATCGAATTCCTATAGCTTCTGCTATGTGTAGGAGACGAGATCGAACCCCATAAGGAAAAGTAGTAGGAATACGATAAATAACTTTAAAAGACTGGTTTTTGTCAACTTCATGACCGCTATCAATCAAGTGTGAAAGAATCGAGCTCCGTATCGACTTGACAATACCTTTTCCTAACCACGAAGGGAGGTGTTCACTAACTCTTTGGTTCAATTGTCTGGTAGTGCGCCCAATATAGCTTTCTCCACAGGAGCAGCTGAATTTATAGATACACATAGAAGTGGCATAACCAGGCAACTTGTCCTTTAGTTGGGGAATCACCATAGATCGTGTCGAGCAAGACAGAAAGAGGTCGGCAGCATTAAACGTTCTCTTAACTGCTTTAGTCAGTCTATCCCGTAGTACATCATCAGCTGAATCGCCGTTGAATTGTAGTTTCAGGAAGAGTGGTTTCTTCGCAGCTGTTGATGTCTTTACTTTCTTATCTGAACACTTCTTATTACGTAATCTTATAATTTCTATGATTGTTATTTCAGTGTCTATATTTTCTAATCATTGACCTATTTTCCTATTATGTAACATTGATTCAAGCCTTTTATTATTCTTATCACAACTAGTACACCTGTCATTACATTACCAATTTGTACTTTCTACTTATTATTAATTTTGATTATGTAATCTATTCCACTGTTATCATTGACTCATAAACTGCCTTGATTGGTTTAATAATTTCGTATATGCATATAAATATTACTGTATATTAGAGTATAGCCTGATGAGGATCTAATCGAAAACAATATTGTTCGCTTATATATGTTGTTCTAAAACTTAACCTTGTGTCCAATAAAATGGCTAAGCCAGCAGGCAGACTTTTTCTATTGGCTTCCTAACTCAAATACTCATGGGGCTAGATTCACTAACCACGTGACGACGTTGCAACACAAATAGGAAATCGCAATGTGTACACAACTAAGTCATGTCACTGTAAATCGGAGCAATAAAGAGATAATTATTTAACGATAGTTTAGGAGTGAATTATGTATCTACAGTTAATACATTAAACAAATTATTGAAAGTAGTGTAATTGTTCGAGAACGTAGCTTGCAACTCTCGTTAGGCATCCGTATGTTATACATAGGCTTGATTTAGCAAATAGAACTCAAAACTCGAAACAATAAGCAATACTGTGATCAATTTGTTTCATTCGTCCTTATCAATGTTTATTTATAACTTTAGTTATTCCCATGTATTCACTGTTTGCCGAACGATAAAATAACTAGATCAGTTTCTTCTAACGAATTATCAAGCGTGATAGCTGATACAACTTAAAAGTTACCGAAGTGTGCATTTCACTCTTTTACCAGTTACGGCATTTAAGTAGGTATCTCTTTCTCCATGGCATGTGGTGTAATAATCAGCCAGTTTTAAAAAGTTGTTTCTTTTTTAATATAGTTGAAGCAGTATTAGTGTAAGATAAAACTATATCCATAAAATCAAAAGGATATCTGTATATGCTATAGCTTCCCCGTAGTTTTATCTGCCTTACTTTTCTTATCGTTCAATTTTTGTCTTTTTCCTACTCGTTTTCGCTCCATCAAAAATGCTGATCTTTTCCCGATTGTTTATCTAGACATCAAATAAATAATCTAGATTATCTTCCTGCATGTTTATCACTATTATTTAGCTGCTGGTATAATCAAATAACTGATTTATTCAATTTCCAGTCAGTAAGATAATCCATCATCAATTATTTTGATAGTTGAACAACATTTCATTAAGATATAGCGATTTTAAATCATTAATTATCCTTCAAATTTCTCTACTGCTTTGGATACTGAGATAAAAAATATTTTGTAGATTTACAGGAATTTTCGCTTGCTTTAGTAGTCAATAATAAGGTGAAAACTTCAGATTTGTGACTTTACTGATGTCATTACCGTTGGCAGAATTAATCCCTAGAAGCAATGACAATGAAATTGTTGATTCTGTGTGACAGCAACATCTTTGAGACATTTGCTTATGAAAGATCGAGAACACAGCAACCAGTTATACGAAGTCTTTTCACCACTTTAAAGTGGGTATTCTTAACGTCTTTGTCCTACCATAACTTCCTGTAGGTTAACTAAGACTAGGTAAAATTATCGTGTGATCACTCATTCAAAATTCTAAAAGTATCATTTGCGAAGTTCGTTAATCGCCCCGGATACACTGATTTGACTTCAATATTTAAAGTTCCATGAACTAACTAAGTGTAAATCATGTTATGTGATTGGATCACGTTTGTTGCCATCACAAAATAGATACATCATATTACATCACTTGCAACGCAATATAATATATTTATTTTGTGATAGCAACAAACATGATTACATCACTTGGGGTTCCTAATGCCCTGGTGCAGCTAAGGATGGGTATAGTCATCTCTCCCTCTCAAAATGCTCTCACTTGGCCACGTGCATACAGCCATTACTAAGAAAGTCCTACTCACTGCCTTCTCGCGGCGACGGTGTTGTTTACGAAAGTGAGAGGACAAAAAGCGAATGTCCGGCGCGTCAACTGGAGTGGTGGACACGGAAAGTCCACCTAGGGGAGTTGGAAAACCCTGATTCCAAACCAATGGTGCACATGGACTCCAGGATCCTGAGGGAACAAATGGCTTATGAACTTGTTGGTCACCGGCTACCATGGGACTACATCTCCTTACGTTCCTCCACTGCCTTGTGAATTAGACCTTTAGGTCAAAGGCTCTGGGTATGGCTCCCTAAAAAACCACCTGCTTCGGTTTGTGCACCCGGGCAGTATCCCAGCCCTTACATAAGTCGAATAATTTGTGTGGCACATGTTTGTTTGATGCCTTCTTGTACCAATGTTCATTTGTTCAAATAAATAAAGTCACTTGAGAAACTTTGTGAGTGTCTCATTTTTTTTCGAAAGTTTTTTCCAAACAAATAAAAGCAAGGTAGTAGATCTAGGAGTACGATCTTCCCATATCTTTACATGTTTTTGCTGACTGGGTCCGAGTCCTATCTGCAGGGTCGTAAATACTCACTGCCTACGAGTTCCATACTAGAACGAAACAGCCGTTCAGGGCTTCCAGGTTTTCATTAATGGTCTAACATTTATCCACTCATACTCTCAATCTAAATCTCAAATAATCGGTAAAGCATGCAGTCTAGAATACCTGTTTCTGTGTGGTTATGGTCAGACAATTTTGTGATATTTTTATGTATATTCTCTTCATCTAGATTGAAAGTCAAATGTCCACGAAGCTGGTTGGTAAACTTCAATATTTTCATAACCCTGTTCCATTATTACCAACACACTACTCATATTCAGTATCAGGAACCAATAAATCTTCGTTTAATTATGATAAACAACTCGAAGAAGAAAAAGGAAAAAATAAAAAACTGGTTGATTCATCTACTGTTCGGGATTACGGCTATGAACAGTTATTGAACGATTATATTTTAGGTGAACAGGCGTGTGCAGCATTTTTATGCGGTAAACTCCAAGGATTATTACGTGCCAATATTTCTAAGTTTATCCAAATCAATCATAATATCAATGGGAGAAATAATGATGATGCTATTGTCCCTGATGCAAAATACAACAGTATTTCACATCATTTTATTGAACAGTTATTTGATATCTCTGAAAAGGGATTGAATGACTGTGGTTCAGTCGATTCACAGAATAAATTAATTGAAAGAATACAGAATTTAATTGTTTCCTGCACAAAATCAACAGATTCTTTTCCTGGATCTTTATTACCGTCACTTAATGCAAATGCTACTTCCAGGACTGCTATTGTTGTTGGTAACAACCAGCCATCAACAAAACGACGCCGGCTAACAACAAAGCCATCAAAAGCAACAAAGGCTATCGCTTTCGAAACTGGTGAAGGTGTTGATAGTAGTGCATCTGGGAAATCAGAGCAGTTACTACCTTGTACTATCGGTAGACTTCTCTATCCAGGTCATTCATCATTGTCCTCATCCATATCGTCATCATCTACAACATTATGTAGTTCAGATAATTTAACATTTGAATCCGACTATAGTAGGCTATTAGCATCTTTTGATCCATTAGTTATCAGATTAGCAAGTCGAATTGTAAATCCGAATTATCTCGGGAATGGTTTATTATGCAATGTAAGTACACATAAATATCAGTCGTCTACAAATCAGTCTGACATACTCTTATGGTATTCACTTCAAACAAATTCCTTCTGTATTGGCAAAACATCAAATCTGTTGAAAACTAATATTCATGAACCAAATCGTTTCTCAGTTCTTCCCATTCCATTGACAAAACTCTCATCTAGATCATTTTGTGAGCTTGATGCATGTTTTAGTGAATCAAGTGAGAATATCGATATAGTCGGTCGTTTATTGCCAACATCGGGCAGTAAGACAAGTATTGTTCGTATGCAAATTAAGGTAAACGAACTGAACATGTCTAACTCATGTATTGACAACGTTAATTTAATACGTATTTCATCAAGTAATTATGTTACTAGTATATGCATGAGTCGATGGATTCCAGGGGAATGGTGTATGGCCGGTAATTATGTGGACGAAAAAAGGGATCGTAAAGCTAGTATTCGGTTGTATAATTCAGAAGATACTCAACTGCCTATATGGTCTGGTCACGTAAATTTAGGCAATTATATGGAAAATATAACAAAGGAGAACTCATTGTGCTTGAAGAGTATAGCATCATCGCCATCTAAACAAGATCCGGTTCAATCAGATATTGAATCTTATTGTACACGTACATCACGGAAACATCTTCTACACCAGCATTATCCCAATTATCATTGGTTACGTGTAGGATTTGGAAGTTATCCGGGTGAATTGTGTCTGACAACCACACGTCGTATCCTAATTTTTGACACCCGTACAGCACCATCTAGTGCTTACCAACTGTTCAACACTTCAGAACGCTCGTTTTTATTGAATTCAAATGATCATCTCACATATTCCCCACCTAAGTGGATTGGTGATGTATATGTTTTAGCTGGTGGTTACTATAGCATGGTTTTACTGGATAAACGTATGCCTAATCGAACTGTATTACATTGGTCTCATAATCTCACGAAACCGTTGGCATATCTTACTTGGACTGAAATAGATAATCAATATCATTCAACGCATGATATTCCACAATTTCTTATTTCTATAACTTCTCAATACCCCGCAGATATGTCTACATTTGGATTGAATCTTAATTCTTCCTCAGGTCCTCAGTATATTGGCCCGTGTCTGTCCGGAATGCCATTAACAAGTTTAGTTTCATCACTTCGATCTAATGATCTCTTTCAATTCTACAATCAAAATCCACTGCTTAAAGGACGTTTACAAAGTTCTATTTGCGGGATTACAACACATTATTCACCAGATATAAAAAATCAATTTCATACATTGTTACTCACACCATATGGAGATCTATTCGATTATTGTGCTTATCTAACATCAAATGGTATTAATACCGATGATTATGACGTTGTAGAGAGCTATCATGTCAAAAGTCAAACAATTATTACAAATTGGTTATCTGAACTTAGTTGCAAACCTGAGAATAAACAGCATGATAAAAATTCTGAAGAGAATGCAAAGTTATGTAAACAGTCGGAGCTCAAAAATCATACAGGCACTTTAAACCTAAGCAATATTGTTTCTGAACAGCGGCAAAGCGTTACAAATAAAGTGAATACCGAGTCTACTGAAGCGGAAAGTACTGGTGGTAGTAATACTAATAATAATAATGATTATTTCACTTTAAAGCGTCGTTTAAATACATCAGAATCATTTATGAATAGTTCAACGAAGTCCTCAAAGTGGTTATTAAGTGATTTAAAATCAATATGGGATTATGATCAAGGTGAAAAATTAAAATATGATAACCAAAATGCATTAGGATTCACTTCAGTGTTTCTTGACAGTTTAACAGAAAATCGTATGCAAGAGGAAATTTTTCATCAAAAACTAATTACTAGCAATGATTTAAATGAATTATTAGATCAACGTTTAATTAAATTAAAGAAATTATATATTGCTAATGCTTTTACTAAGTCTGTAGGCGATTGTAACGAAAGATGGCCATGTGTGTTGACACCAGTATTGCCTGAAGAATGTGTAACGTCGTTATTTCAGTCTGAGTGCTATACTGCCGAAGAACTTTAAAAGTCTGCCTAATATTTCGTACATATTATGTATGAAAATAAGATCTGGGAGCAATTTATTATGCATATATATAGTACATTATGTATGTTGTACATAACAAATTGAAAATAAATGCACTTTTGCTCCATGAATTTCCATCTTCTTTGTGATCTTGTTGACTTTAAAACCGTTTAGTAAGTTAGTGTCTGCTTGCTGTTTTCTTTTTTATTTAGGGGAATATAAATATTCACTTTGTAATCAAATTAACATGTCTTCACTAATAAGTCATTGGAAACGATTTATATCAGCCTGTTCTACCCCTGCTACTTCTGTTGGTATTGGTGGTAGTGGGTCATATTTAGCATCAAATTCGAGTGGAAGTGGTAGCAGTGGTGTTACACCTGCACCACAGAATTCCTTTCAGAAATCTCCAGTTGAATGGGAATGTCTTAATGAAACGGTAAACCTACTCTTGAAGACATGTCCAGTATCACGATCAGCTATTTTAGATCATTTAGCTCCGCTGTACATTGATTATTTTGTCACTTGGTGGCATGTCAATTCTGGGACTGCTACTAATCGTAATGTAAACATCGAAAGTCAGAATTTGCATAGAGCTGAAGTTGTACTTCAAGAATTGCTTAAAACGGTAAGTGATCATGAGGTCAAACGTTCACCAATGTTTATTGATATATATATATATATATATATATATATATATATATATATATATATATATATATATATATAATTCTCCACTTCACTTACGCCTGTTACTCTTCTGTGTCTGATCAGCCCTAATGGGTTGGTGTCTAACGAAATCTCAACATGGATTCAAAAAGTTCGTTTAGATTTTGCTAACTTACGTCACTGTAAGGATAGTTTGTTGGCAGACTCAGGGAAGCCCAGAAAGAGCCGAAGACATTCCATCCAATCACCGCTGGGGGAACATTCCAGAATGCCGACATGTAGCTTCCCTATTGAATGAATAAGAAGGAACCCCTATGTGCCTATTGGCTGTCCGAAATGATGATTTACTTACAGCCAAAAACTATGAATACATGAGATTTTTGTACTATATTTGACACTGTGTTGGGAATAACATTCCTACTTACTAATCTTTTGTCTTCTCTCTTGCGACGTTGAGGGTTCCATCGTTCGAGTAGTCTAGTAGTACGCAGCGTAGCAAGAATCTAAAGCTCTAGATATAACAATTTCATACAAATGAACTGTTTCCCAGTTCCCTCTCGTGGTGCTCAGGTAAAGGTTTCAATGTCAGACATCTGACATTCTTAAACTCATCAATGCCAACTCCGTCTGCACAAATTTTTAAGACCATATAATAGACACCCAACTAATAAAACAAGCACTTAAAATTAACTGTCAAGAATAAAAAAGGAAGGCAAATCATTGAGATTCCAGATCAGTGGAACAGGGTTAAAACACTTTGAAGAACTATTAATTTGACCAGACTCACTGAAACCACCAGATATAGAAGCAGCACACACAAACCTCTTTATAGATATCAACCCACAAACAATCGGAAAAATCAGCATCGTCACCAGACAAATCAACAATGGGAAACAAGCAAGATCAAACAACATACCAACTGAAGCACTGACGTCAGGCATAAAAATAACCGCAAACATGTTTCACATTTTATTTAAGAAGATTTAGAAGGATGAACAAGTGCCGACAAACTGGAAGATAGGATACCTCATCAAGGTACCAAAGAAAGGAGACTCAATCAGTGTGAGAAGCACAGAGGCACCACACTACTATCAGTATCAGGAAAAGTTCTAAAACCTGAAAAATAGTGAATATGTGGTCGATACAGTCACGACCAGGTCTGAAGCCAGCCTGATTTTCTCGTGTTTGCAGTTCACAAGTCTTAGGCGCCCAATAATGATTGAGGCTAGTATTTTAGGTGCTATGTTAGTCAGACTAATCCCTCTATGGTTATCACAGGATGATTATAACCCCTTCTTATATATTGGAACAATCAGTGATTGTGACCAGTCAGATGAGATTACGTCCAACTCCCAGATTTTAGCTAAAATATTAGTCAACTTGATCGCTAAAATTGGACCACCATATTGAAGGACTTCTGGACCCAACCTGTCTGGAACAGCTGCTCTTCCTCGTTTCAGATTAGTTATGGCCTTTTGGACTTCAGGTAGGTTCGAAGGGCCTACTTCAATATTTCATTCAGACTGTCTGGGAATGGTGGGTCACTGTAGAGTAGCTTAAGGACAGTTAAACTGCTCTCTAAAGTGTTCCGTCCATCGTTATAAACGTCTGGGCTGAGAGCAGATAAGGGTTCCGTCTTTTTCCGAGATTGTCTCACTTATACTTGACTTCTTAATTCCGGTTTCTTTTATTAGTCTGAAAAGCTGTCTGGTGTTGCTTACAGCTGCTTCCTTTTCCATCTCTTTTGCTTTCGTTGCCCACCACTGCTCACGGTCGTTCCTTAGAGTTTTGGTTAACCTAGATCTGATTCGCTTTCGTAATGTTTTCAGGTGTCATCATCAGTATCAAAAGAAAAGTGAGCTTACTTATTATCAAACAACTGACTTGAATCAAACCTAAATATAGGTAATTGACGAAAACAAATAGGGCCTTCCGTTTTTTGAAAATGCATTTTCTTCAACGTAAACAAAGATTTACACGTTAAAAAACGAATAGACAATAATAGGAGAGGGGTGGAGACAAATGCAACTGTAGAAAGTAATCAATGAAAGTCAGGTTAAAATTTGTAGCTTTGATTTAATGTACAACTTTAAGTTAGTTTGGAGACGTTAATAATTACATTTTATGGATAATTCTCGTGATACAAATGCATCTACCACTTTAAATTACATCATCCCACATCAAGTATTACACAATATTTTGGGTCATTTCATTTCGTGATGAAAGGTTTTGTATTACTGTTGAGCTAATTAACACTGGCTATCAAGACTCAGTAGCTAAGTGGATAATGCGATGTTATTTGAAGCGAACGGTACTGGGTTGGAGTCCCGGAGTGAACGTAAACTCTGGGATGCAAGTGCATCCGACTCAGGAGTCCCAAATAGGGCGAGAGGTGTCTCCTGGATTCCACTGTTAGACACCATCTATCTTTGCTTATAATGCTTGTGACTTAAGATGTGGTGTGTGCTACTTATATCGACATATGTAGTATATAACGCTGGTCAGGAATACAATGTCTCGCAGCAGAAGCTCAAGAAGATTGAAGAGAAAAGAACGGGAACAGAAAGCAATTGCTATGGAAATATTGGAATATTGAAGTCTGAGACGATTGACTGGTATTCGCAAAAGGAACAGTCAAGTTTGAGACAACTGATTAATATTTTGCAAATAAGGTATTCACCGTACGGTCCTCAGATTTCACTAAGATATTCTGTAATTTTGTGTTCAAATACTTTCGATTGTCCACACTTGTGTTCTCGTTCACTACAAAGACAATATCGAGACAATCCGCACAGCATGCACATATGCCAATAAGAGACTGATCAATTGCAGTTCTAAACATCAATGGGAAGAATCAAACAAACAGTTCGAAATGAATGTAATTAACACTTACATTCACATCGTGGATTAATTTCAACTAGTTAAACATTTGATCATGAGTAGGGAACACCAGATGACATCTCACTCATTCTAGTTTAAGGGGGGAAATAAAATTTTCTGACACCAGCTGAAAATGATTGAAAACCTATTTATTTGAGCGATTATTATTACCATGTTGTTGATTACAACAATGCTTTAGCATTTGCGTACTTTAGATACACATATATTCAAATTATTATTATTTTGTCCAGAGTCATTTTCATAAATCCATCAATGTGGATTAAAATTTACTGGTCACCTTAGTCACTGAATCCTGAAGATGCCTGTGATTTGTCCTTGTCTGTATCCTCGTTCAAGTGAATAGTAACAATGTAATATTTATTTCTAAGAATGTAAAACTATCACATCTCTGAACAGTTTTCTCATGGAACAAATTAGGGCTAATGATATTTAATATTTTTTCCTTTTACTTATTGCTCAATTACTACCGGTTAGCTCAGTCGGTAGAGCATCAGATTTTTAATCTGAGGGTCGGGGGTTTGTGTCCCCCATCGGGCGCCACGACTTTTGCCCCTAAATGCCCTGGTACGGCCGAGAGTGGGGAGAGTCACCTCTCCCTCTCGAAATTATCTCACATGACGGCGCGTATATAGCCCCTGCCAGATAACTCCTGTTCACTGCCTTCTCGCACCACGGGTGTTGTTTGCCAAATTGAAAGGACGAAAAGCTAATGTTCGGAGCTTTAACCGGGTTGGTGGACAAGGCGAGTCCACCTGGGGGAGTTGGAAAATCCTGATTCCAAACCAATGGTGCACATGGGCTCCAGTATCCTGAGGGGACAAAGGGCGTACGAATCAATCGTTGATCACCGGCTACCATGGGACTGCATCTCCTCACGATGCTCCACTGCCTTGTGGATCAGATCTTTAGGTCAAAGGCTCCGGCTGTAACCCCCTAAGAAAACCACCTGCTTCAGTTTAGGCACTCGGGTAGTATCACAGCCCTCAAGAAAATCGAATGAGATTTGTGAGGCGCATATTTATCTGGTGCTTCCTTGTACCAATATTTATGTGTTTAAATAAATAAATAAAATACCATTTCGTAATTAGAAAAGTTTATATCTAGAATGATTTCGTGATCATACTTCTCAAGTTTTACATTTTCCTATTTTTACTTCCCAATCAGATTAATTCACTGATCACTTATAAAGGGGTGACTGATCATCTCCTTGGAGCAGTTTGTTCTTGGTGTCTTGTGTTAATTCGACCTGTATGCACCGCTCCGCCAACCCAATTATTATCAAACTTAATGGACTTGCTTGGATCACGTAGTCGACAACAAAGTGATGGTAAATCATCTTTAACATTGGGGAGAACTTTGAATAACAGTGTAATGTCAACTAGTCGAAAAATTTTGCACAAATCTGGAATACACAATATTGCAAGTACTGATGATAATATTCATGATCGTGACAGATTGAATGTTATAAAAGGTACTATTTGTCGATATGGTAAAAAACGCAGATCTGACCTCCGTTCATTGTCGTCGTCTTCATCCACGTCCACACCCTACCACCGACT